AGGGAGGGGGGGGGGGTACTTTGCGTGCTCTCGAAATTTTTTTCTACTGCTGAGGAGGTCGATTTTGGTTCTTCTGGGGTTGCTTTGTTTCTCCGTCTCATGCATGCTATTCACCACCGCTCGACGGCCGATAGCACCTTTGCGAGGGAATTCTGTAAGATGGGCGGTAGTTTGTGAAAGGTAACTGTACCGAAGTAAGGGGAGCCGGGAGCGCCAGGGGTAGTGGAGAAATTTGACGAGAATTCTCTACACGCGATTATGTGCAGTGTGAGATAGGCTCCGGCGCAGTTCGGCTAGGTGGGAGCACCGAAGTGGTATCCCGCGAGGCCAAAGACCTTTTATGGACACCAAGCTTCCATACGGCCGTTAACTTTTTAGTTATTGTGTAATAGCAAAAGGAACTAGTGAGGTGTAAAATGCCTCCGCCAAGCGGAGTAGCGCCTTAGTTGTTAGCGAGACCCTAATTTCGGATATCGTGCTGACATTGTCATTTCGCGCATCTCGATGATATTCCCTGATTCCAGTTGCGGCCTGCTAACATTCTGAAAATTTTAAAAAGTCTTAAAAATTCGGAATTAGTGGCAAGTTTTTGTTATTCTAGGTAGCGAAATTAGAGCGGGCTTCCTTGAAAGATCCAGCACGAGTGGAAGTGTCCTACTCGTTATAAAACAGTGGACAAGCTGAGGCAGCATTATCTCTTCATACCGTTTAAGTATAAAGTGAGTAATTGTCTCGAAAACATTTTTCTAGCGTTGGTCCTGCCTCCTGTTCACTTCACTTCAGGAAGCTTATTTGGTGTATTTATTGAATGAATTAGCTGGAAACACCGCCATTGTCTTCTGTGCTACCTGCAATGGGGCTATGCAGGTATGCAGCTATAAGAGTCCTGCTCTTGCCTTGTTGAACTGCTAGGCTATATCCTTTCCTACTTGTCGTTTTGTTCACATTTCAGATTGCTATGCTGTTGAGGCAACTCGGAATGCAAGCGGTTCCTCTTCACGGACAAATGGGACAAGTAACCTTTTAATCTCCGAGAATTTTGGTTCTGTGATTATTACAAAGGTGTGTTCAGGAGAAGCGATTGGGCTCTTTGAATAAATTCAAAAGTAAAGTTAAGGATGTTCTCGTGTGCACCGACGTAGCATCTAGAGGTGGGTCCTACTTGCATACGCAATTACTCACTTTTCACTGCCTTGAATGTGTCTTGCAAAAAATGACTGAATTTGTCACGCTCTTATGGTATGTATAGGTCCCTTTTAGGTCTTGATATTCCTCATGTCGATCTTGTTATAAATTATGATGTTCCCTCTCAGTCAAAAGACTACATTCACAGGGTAAGATTATTGGCATTTTATCCTTGTAATTTATATAATTGTTTTTCTCTTTCGTCCTTTCCCTTAGTTCTGTGTTTGCTCTTTCATAACGGTTTACTTGAGTAAGGGCTTGAAGGCAGTTGGCACGATGGTTTCCTACTTACCAGGAAAGGACGAAAGAGAAAAACAATTATATAAATTACAAGGATAAAATGCCAATAATCTTACCCTGTGAATGTAGTCTTTTGACTGAGAGGGAACATCATAATTTATAACAAGATCGACATGAGGAATATCAAGACCTAAAAGGGACCTATACATACCATAAGAGCGTGACAAATTCAGTCATTTTTTGCAAGACACATTCAAGGCAGTGAAAAGTGAGTAATTGCGTATGCAAGTAGGACCCACCTCTAGATGCTACGTCGGTGCACACGAGAATATCCT